TTATATCCTCTTATTACCTCCAACACGAAACTGGTGGCTATCATTTGGCTACATCCTTTAAGGACTAACCTAGCCTTCCACTTGTGAGGAGCTATCGTGCTAAGGTGAACTTACTCTCTTATATAATCTAATTTCCCCTAATACTAACAATCATGGAGTGTCGTACCCCTAATCTGGCCTCCTCATGAACCGGTGAAGACTAGTTAGGTTCAAGTCCCTCATAGAACAAGTAGGATAGTCCCGAATCAACCATGAGGCAAGGGCTACCTTCCAATTCTAACAGTCGATACCAAGGCTAGTTCTTGATTTTAATGATCACTGCCAATATTACATGGATTTAGATCAATCTACTCTTCTCTCTAGGCAAACTCTTGCCAATGATCATGCCATACACATTTCTTACATAATATGCATTTCAAGTAATAATTTCATGGCAAAAAATCTCATATACTCTTATTAAATTACTCTACACATTCAACATATTACATAAAATAAATCTCTACTTTTGTAACAACATGTCATAAGTAAATTTTTAAATCACAAGTAAGTGGCATAATCAACATTTTCTTCCCTAAAATCATTTCACATGTCAAACATTGCTAATATGCATCATACATTTAAATCATTAATCATATTTCACAAACATAGTTAACATTTAACCATAAAAGTTAAGTTTTCCTTGGTTACCTTAAACCTTTGAGAGGTCAAAAGTTTACCTCTCACTATACCAACTTCCTAAAGCTTTAACAAGCTTGAATGATGCCAAAAGATTCACACTACATTCATAAGCAATAATATCATTACAATCTCACTCTAAAGGAAATATCAATATTGATTCCACCTTTCCTCTATTCTACTAATCCCATAAATCTCTACCCATTCATACCCAATAGGCTCTTTAGGTTCTATTAATGCACATTATCACTGATAACACCTTAAACCATCATTAATGTACATAAACCTCTCCCAACTATCATATTTATGTTAATTTTTAGATATTAAATGTTCCCATGGACCAACCACTTTCAAAATCATCAATATGGTGTTTCAATACCTTAAACAACTCCCATTATACTCATTTTAACAAATAAAATTGGACCCATACTCTTATGAATTGAAAATCTATCTTCTAACTCAAATCCTACTATAAATCATCATAAATAAGGGAGAGAATAGAAGAATAAGGCACCATAAACTTACCTTAAGTGTTTGAGAGTTTCAAAAAATCAATAATAGAAGCCAATGCCGTGCCCTAGCAAAGCCTAAGTCGAGCTCTTCATTTTCCTCTCCTCCTTTTCTTTTGTCTTAGCATGTAAAACGTATCTGATTTATCAGATTTTTGCCCGTGTATCACGACGTATGGCACAGAGGAACCCGTTGCTTTCAAATTTGTCTTTGTATGCTGCGACAGATTGACCACGCTCCGCAACATATGGCATAGAGGATAATTCTTTACTTTTTATTCTTCTTTCCTTGCTCGGGTGGCCCGCCATTGATCCAAAACTACTTCTAAGGCTGAAATCACCACAAATACACCAAGTTAAGCCCCTTCTAGCCACACACTTTATTAACTCACTAATTACTCTCATTAAATTAATAAACCATGATTAAATTTTTTCAGATGTTACATAGGGCACCTTATATCAAAAGATATACTGTGGGGGGTAAGAACAATATCATGCCCATATTAAACTACATCCTACCCTATACAAAAAATAAATAAGGGGGACGATCATAAATACACTTCAAAATACAATTACATTTTTATTCAATATTTTAAGAGAATCTCTTAATCAACATTTCCTTGTAGCTCACTTGAGTTGTGAGATACATGCAGGAGCTTCTTGACTTGAACTTTTTTTCCCTCTTCAAGCAAAACCTTATACTTTAGTGCACCTAAAACATTATGCCTAAAATAAAAATTAGTAGTCATCACAAGTGAGTCATTCAAGCATTAATATATGACATCTTCAAAATAACAACTAGCTTCTTAAGTAATACAAGTTCAACACAACTTTTTTTAATGGCCCTTGAACAAGTTAGTGAAAACTAATTCCCCAATAAAAAAAATGGATGTCATAAAGAACTTTTTGGCTCATATTAACATAGATTTATAATAAAGCAAATTATGAACTTTAACCACATTAGAGAATCAACCATGAATTTGCAACATACTATAGGCCAAGATATAACCTTTAATGGTAGAAAACTCAAAAGAATGGTCTAACAAAAAGGCAAGTGAAACACATGGTCAACAATAATTCTTGCAGCTACTTTGTGTCTGTGTGGTTTGCTATTCTATCTTTTCAAAACATACGTTTGAGAGCTAGCATCTGAAAATAAAATAATCAGTCTTAAATGTTTGATTGCCCACTATTGTTACAAAAAATTTATGTCTACTATTCCCAATGATTTTAAAAATTAAGTGTTAGAATTTTATACCTTCATCAGTTTTTCTATTAAACCCTTACAAAACATGAACAAAGAGACATTGCATGCAATACTTAGATAATAGTCTAGTTTATTATAAACCACAAGTCCACAACATATGCTACATCCATATCATGAAGAATTGCCTTTGCCCTAGAATTCTTTCCTCAACATGTGTAGAAGGTGATGTAAGGAACTACACCATATGGTTTATAACTAAAATGTACAATAATCTTCACAACTTTGAGCTTATCAACCATTCAACTTTAAAACATATTAATAGCATAAGATGAAATAAAATAGACTTAAAGTAGCTTTGGAAAGTTGAATTACTTCTATGATAATGGAGTAAATCAATAAAATAATGCTTGAAGTTTCAAATTTTGCTAACAACTCAGGAAGTGGAACTTAAAGAGCAATGATCTCAAGCATTAGTGACATCAAATGAACAAAAATATGATCTTCTACTTATCTACACAAGATTAAAAATTCAACAAAAGAACACATAAATTTTGGGAAACCATGGATACAGATTCCTAAAAGATCAAAACTTGCATGTTTGAGCTATTCATTCTTTAGTCTTATCACAAGCATCAATCTTTGTATAACAAGGTTAGTGTTCATCCCTTCTTTTTCCTTTTTTTTTTCTTGTTACAATATTTATACTAATAGAGGATACAAATAATAAATCTATATCATACCAATATTGGCACTAAAAATGAAGTTGTTCAATTTCTAGCTTATTCTTTTCAATGATTGTGTAGCATTCATAGGCTGGATAAGCATAGCCAGAAATCATCCTGACAACACAAAAAAATATATTAATTTTTGAATATTACACATTGAACCTCTAGCATTATGAAAGATGATAAGTTAGGATGGTATAAAACATACACAAGTACCCTATTAAGAAAGGATCCTATCATTTTATGTTCTTGGTGTGGAGAAGAGGAAAAATGTTAAGAAAAATTGTAATGATATAATTATTAAACTTCATGTAGAGCAATTTCAAAAATTTAATAAAGGAAGAACATAAAATCACAAAGGCACAAGCTCAAGGAACAGGGGATATGTCAATATTGGAAGGCTCCTTAAGCAATGATTATCGGCGAGGAAACATGGAATAGTAACAAGAGAAATCCTAAAGTCTCTTCTACTAATACAGGTAGTAAGTGAATCCAACTCAACCCCATGGTGAATAAATTTTAAATTGCAAAGACGTTGATATCCTATCGTTCTTCATGATTTATAGTTGACTTTCTCTTTATACCTTTTACAGCAACCAACCATAGATTTTATAGAACATAGGAAAAAAGAAATAAACAAATAAAACAAGAAATCAGTTCACATATGTTAGAGAAAGGAATCTGAACATTCAGAATGTGATTCTTGAGGATGTAAATGGCAAACTTGGACCTTCAAGGACGTCAACAGCGATGAGCTTCTCTTGCAAGGCGATGATGGCGACAGGCTTTTCCAACAAGGTCCATGGCTACTGTGGTGATGGGTTAGCGGTTGTAGACGAAGGACAATGTCGATAGAGAAAGGGGAGAGAGGAGAGAGTGGAGTGAGAGAGCTGAAACCACAAGGACATTTTGATCATTTAAATAGATTACTTGATGAATAAAATATTAGACCTAGTCCTTAAATTTGACTTGGTCCTTGGGAATAATTTATATTTCAACCAGGTCCTTATTATCAATTTTTCCTAAATTTTTCAAACAGGACATTAAGAGTCAAAAGTATTGTTTACTTTCTTCTTTTCCAACGTAAAAATATTGATTTAAATAATATGAGCAGCATGTATAATAAGGTTATTATTGTTTATATGAAATTAACTATTTTTTTTCTCTTATTTTCTCTTACTTAGCCAAGTATATAAGTAGAGAAAATTACATTTCTCTAATTTTCTTTTCTTTTTAAATTTTCTCTCTTTTTTATTTTTCCTTATGAGCCAAGCAAAACATAAAAGAGAATATTTAAGAATTATCTGGTAAGGATTTCCATGTCTCTTTACTTATCATTGATTTATTTATAAAATAATAAAAAATACATTAAAATAATAGACAGATTTGTTCTAAATTTAATGGAAGTCAAATTTTGAGAATTACTGTGGCAGGATTTTGCAAATTAAAAGAATGTCTAAAATAATAATACCGAACAAGTTTCTAATTTAAAAAATTAAAAAATTTAAAATGATTTTAACGGTTGGACAAATCTCACATCATACGAATATATAAAAAAAAAAATCTAAATTATCCGTACAAATCATTTTTTTGGCACAAAGTACAAAGCATTTCAAATATCTTTATTTATTTTGTATTATTTAAAAATGATAGGAGGGAGAGCGACATATGATTTTAATTTAATGGAATCAACTTTAATTTTAAGATTAATTTTGAGTTATAAATAAAGAAACAAACAAATTGTGTAAAGGAAAAAGAGTAATAAAGAAGAAGAATGTAGAAAGAATTATCTGGTGGGATTTTGCAAAATCTGGCCCCCGAATACTAAGCAAAGGAAGAGACACGTGGAAACAAATAAAAAGATTTGAGGAAAGAATACAAGATATTTTGGAACTGATAAAGCACAAGGCGCCCCGAACAGGGCTGGGGGGAGAGTGTGGAACAGAAAAAGTAGATCGACTGAGACTGAAACAGAGAGATCGAAACATCGGAGAGAGATATGGGAACAGAGACAGGGAGACATCAGAATTCCAGGCGGATGAGTAAATCCAGGAGGTCTGTTTGGTTCCTTGGTCAAACTTGGTTGTAGATCCGACTGCTTTGTATTTATATGACGTTCGATGTTTCCTGTCTTCATTAGTCTCCGCAATCTTGCCTTTGTATCATGACCAAAATTCACATCGCCTATGAGAATTTTAACATGTTATGGTTTGTGGTTTCGCTTTCCTGTGCGTTTATTAACATCTCCATTGTGGTTGATTGCTTTGTCATCCACTGTTTTACTCGTTTTAGACGAAAAATTCGGTTCATTGATCTTTGAATTTTTCTCGTTTCTGATTCAAAAAGCGTCATGGACCTGTTAGAAAATCTCTATGGATCGTGAATATGTTTTTGGTTGCTTCAAATTTGCTCAAAATCACGTTTTCTGGTGTTGGGTCCGAAAAACCCGTTTCAGACCCGCGGGTCAACCCACTAGAGATTGAAGACAACATCCAATAAGTGCTGAAATTTTGCAGGCTCTCCTTTCAGAATTTTCTAGTAATTGATATAATTATATTTCAATTTTATCTGAGCCATAAAAATTAATTTGAATTTTTCAATTTAAATTGAAATTATTTGATTTTGAAGGGCTGAATTAGTGCCCAGAAAATTGAAATTTCTGGGATGTAAATTTATGTACTTGTTCATCTTCACTCTCCCTAGATTAATGTATAGAACGTATACTCTCCATTTTTTAATTATAATTGGAGTTAAATAATAGCTTTTAATATATTTAGTATGATCACACTTTTGCTTGCTCCTTTTCCTTTCTGCTTGACAAGGATTATCGATCATTAGAACATGAAAGTAATTAGAGAGCAGGACAAATAAGGACCTTACAAGAACATTAATATCAAGTTAGGACCTCTTCACAGCTAAAGCTCCCAAATTTAGCACCCTTTCTCTTATATTTCAATACTAAAATCTTTAAAAAAAAAATATTGATTTGGCATTAATCTTCTTATGATGTCCTTACTTGTAATTTCCTCAAGTAATTAACTTTTGTACTAATTATAAGGCCTTGTCATATTGAGAAGGTGAAATTGTATGGAACTATTATTTAATTTATTTGTATATTGTTGTGGCATTTGATTGCGACAAAGACTCATGATTTGATCCTTCGGGGTTATATTTGATGCAATATATTATTCATGAATTGATGCTGATTTACTAGTTTGAGAATTTTGTAAACACACGGTTGAAAATATGTATATATTCAAATGGTTGATTTTAACTTCCTAGCATGGGAACTTTATTTTGTACACTGATGAGAATGTTTATCACTATAATAGTGCATTCATTAAAGTCTACCAAAATCGTTTAATTCCCTTTCTTGATAGTAAATAAGGCAATTTCAATTTATTATTCCAATTTGAGAATATTGTTCTATGAACTGTTCACTTCCAGTGTTGATGGAATCAATGGAATTATCATGAGAAATGTTTAAAGCTACCTAATTTTGTTTGAAAAATGGTAGAGAAGTATTTTAGAGAAGCTTATTGAAATTTTTTGATGAGCCAGATAGAGTGGGAGTCTTTGAAGGAACTTGAAATTTCTCTTACCCTCAAGTCTAGCCCAATCATTATCATTTTTAATTTATTAGGAAAATTTTTAATGGTGGGACGACATTATGTTTTTTTATGAATTATATACATAAATTATATTCTTTGGTATTTCTGTATGCTTGAAAGCACATTATTGAGAGCGGGTTAATGTTTTCACTCACACTTGGAAGGGGAGCCTAATTAAGTCAGCATTTTTGCTTCTCATATATTAATCAACATTGGTCACCACATCATCATTCTGTTAGCCACATTAACGTAATTGAATAATGTTAATTTTTCCTCAAGAGATCAAATCGATGATTCCTCCAGAGTAAAAGTTACATCATTCTTATTTTTTAACTTTTAACTTTCATGTTTAGTTCATGCAATCACTATTAATCATGATTAATAATTTTAACCCCTATAACTCCAATACCTATTATTAGTGTCATGTGTATCCCTAACTAATATAAATATTCTCCCTCTAATTAAATTGAAGTATCAAGAAAGAATAACAATTTCTTTTTTCAAGTTGAGAGTGTTTTCTCTTTTTAGCTGCTTAGAGTGTTTCCTCTCTTTCTTTGAGTTATAAACCACTTACTTTCCTATGGGCCTTCGCTGAGTTCCTAAATTTATCTTTAAACCATCTTTCTGCTGTTCTTTGATTTTTTGCAGTCTCTTTAGATAATTGTTTGAGGATACTAAAAAATATCCGTTATTGGGAACTTGATCCACAAACAATATATATCCTTGGTTATACTATATTGCTTTTGTCGGTTTTATTTAGCTTTCCTTTATTTTGTAGCATAAAAAACGGCCAAAAAGAAGAAACTAGTGGCAGCAAACGGACATGGATGGAGCACCTACATGCATTACCAATCATACAACATCTTCTCTCCAGGTAATTACTTATGGGCAAGACTTATATATTTAGTATACTTTCATCTAATCAAATCAAGACGTGTATTTTAATATGTTAATAATATTAACAACAAGAATTCATTATAAAATAAATAATCTATAATAGATGCACATGTCTTGATTTAATTGGAATCAAGCATCTTAAATATATAAGGTTAAACATATAAGTTTTTCCCATTATTTAAATTTTACAAGCTATAATTAAATCAGCATCTTTAATTTCATTTGAACGATACATGATTACAAACATAATTTTGCTCATCAACACTAATAGAAAGAATTGAAACTATACTTTGTTATGCATCTTTAGTTTTTGTTTCTTTATCTATTATTGTAAAATAAAGAAACAAAAAATAAGTGTGAAAAGGAAAATGAATCATAAATAAGAAGAATATATAGATAATTATTCTGGTAGGATATTGCAAAATATCGTCCCTGGATAGGAAGCAAAGAAATAAATAAAAAGATTTGAGCAAAGAGTAGATTATGTGTAAAGCAATAGGTGTATAAAGCAATAGGTGTACCAAACAGGAAGAAAGTGCGAGGAGAGAGAGAGACTTGAAAGAAAAAGTAGATCCAGAGACTGAGACTGAAACAGAGACAGAGAGACGTCAGAATTGCAGAGAGAGGAAGAAGATGAGGGAACCCAGAATGTATGTTTGGTTCATTCATTGTTTTCTGTAATCTGTTGTTGCTTCCTTCTCTTCTGTTTCAGTTCTATTCATCAAGCTAATGTTATGTGTAAATTATGTTTACTACTTGCGTGTATATTTAACTAAACAAAAACAAATTAAATTAAAACTCTAGAAAAATAATCAGAATCTCTTAAAAGAAACAAGTTTTAATTTTTAAAAATAATCTGATATAGTGTATGAAAGGTATATGAGTGGGAATAAAAAGAATGCTGTAGAAGTGAAGATACAAGTCATAAATTTTACAATAACTAAATAAACATTTTTTAATAAGGTTAGATCCACTAAAATATTATAAAATCTAAAATCACTAAATAATAATCGCATCTTAATATATTAACCAATTATGATATATTGGTTTTTGCGGGTTATATCTTTCCTTTACTTTGAAGCATAAAGAATGGCCAAAAAGAAGAGAGTAGAGGCAGCAAATGGACATGGATGGAGCACATAGAGCAGTGTTTTAATTTTATGTGTAAATGGCCAATCATACAACATCTTCACACCAGGTAATTACTTATTTAAATTTTAGAAGCTATAAATTAGCTTCTTTAATTTCATTTGAACGATATATGATTAATTACAAACATACTTTTGTTCATCGACACTAATAGAAAGAATTGAAACTATACATTGTTATGCATCACTTCGTTGTTAGTTCACGTTTTTTTTTTTTTTATAAAAAAAAACCACCTTTTTTAAGGCTAACAAATGGTGAAGAAGACGAACAAGAAAAAGAAGGAAGCAACAACGATCAAAAGATGCTAATTGCAAAAGATGATGACATAAACATCGAAGAAGCAGCTAGCAGCAACGGTGAAAAAAAGGCACATATGATTGATGATGATGATGATGATGGTGGTGGTGATGATGAGACAAGAGTAACGAACATTAAAGAAGGAATAAGTTACAGCAAGTGGTCACAAGTGGGAGATGATATCTTGGGCTAGATTCTTGAACACTCATGCTTCAGTGATTACCTTCGAACTCGAGCTGTATGCTCAAGTTGGCAGTCCATTGTCACTAAATACATTGCCAAGAAGCAGTGTCTTCCACAGCCTGAACTGCCACTTCATTATCTTCAAACAATGGACAGCCAAACTGTCCATTCTTCGTCTTGCCCACAGCAAGTGTCTTCAAGTTCAGTTACACATTGCCACCACTCGAATTCATCCATTATTGCTACGGCATGGTTCAAGGTTGGATGATCATGTGAAGCTTCCCACGATTATTTTAATGTTCCTGAAACCGATGTTCAGATCTTCTTCAACCCGGTAACAAAGGCTAAGGTTTGCTTGTCATCAAGGTTGAAAGTGAAGAGTAAAATTAAAAGAATTGTGTCATCCACAAACTCCAATGACCCAAACTGTGTTGTGGTGTGTATCTTTTACCTCCATGATATTTTCGCCTTTAGATGGATTTCTGATGAGTCATGGACTATAATCGTTGAATGTCCTATGACAAGAATCACCTTCATGCACATAGAGATTCTCCATGGAAAATTGTATGCTCTGACCAACGAATCTAAAAATTATTTAATTTTTATGACTTGAAAAAACAACATCTAAAACCTGAGATATTAGCTAAGCTTCCTCTAGTAGTACCTAACATTATTAGCACTGAGATAATTCTCTCTTGGTATCTTAATGAAGTTTCCCCTAGGTACTTTATAGAAGCTAATGATCACATTCTTAGGACTCTGGCCGTTGATTCTTCATTTGGAGAACTATTGCTTGTTTACCTGTATTACACTGCTTTCCTTACGTACAATTGTGGGGGCTATAAGGCAAAGGAGTTTGCCAATCCGCCTGAGACTGTAGACAGTATAAGTGTTCAAATTGGACATGAGTGACGAACCTAGGTGGACTGAGGTTGAAAACTTGGAAAGTCTTGTGTTGTTTGTTGGCTACTGGAAGACTCTTGCATTGTCGTCACGTGTTGCTCCTCATATCCCTCAAGAGTTGATTAAAGAGAATTGCATATATTTTTCTTATCGGTTTCCATGTATTGAAGGCACGAACGAATGGAAAGTCTTGAAAATTGGGAGACATTGTAGGACTGAAAGAAGGATTGAATACTATAATTGGAAAGATCAAGTTTTACTGACCCGCCATGTCGTGTTTGGTTCATACCAAATCTTTGATAACTCTCACGTTTCGCTACATGTTACATATTGAAGGTCTTGTCTTATATAAGAAACATTATTGTTTTCCACGTGATCTACATCTAGCTTTTTTTATTTGCTTGTTTCATAAATTTTGGTTCTTTAAATTAGAATCTATTTTGCTCCTCTTTCATTTGCCATTATGTTGCATATTTTGCATCAAATATGAAAATTACACCTCTTGAAGAAAACGTGCTATGCGGACATAAATTGGTTCCAAAATTAGTTCGACTGACACCTTGTCTCTCATCAAATGTAAAGCATGCTCACACCCACAAGAAGTTAATCCACTTCTACAATATAAAGCTTGAATATTAGACCCAAATATATGGCAGCACATCTATATAACTTATTTTAAAAAGAGGCGTATCGCTTTGCAAATCTGCTATTTAACGAAGCTGCGGGCAATCCTTCCAGAAGGGAAATAGTTTTGGCTGCCCCTGTTTTTGCATCCAAGGGCTCATCAGGTGAAAGTGAAACTTGAATCAGCAAATTTAATAACCGGGGGAGTGGGGCATGCGCCTGAATAACATTTAAGAGACATATAAGGGTTGGTCAGGATTTTATGTGGGTAAAGCCATTCGGTAGAAAAATAAAGAGAGCAATTAAGTAGCATGTTCTTGAAACAATTGATCACCTGATTCATACACCTTAAAACAATTTCATGGATACATCTGTAAACAATAAAAGACTCGTCCAATTCTTCTTTTAAAGGAAGAACTCTCAAAAAACCTTAAATAACCTGTCAAATATATTCAGGAGAAATTTACATAAATACCAATAGAATTATTTGGCTATCAAGTGCTTTTACCAAAATAAAATTTCCTATCAAGCAAAAGAATGTCGATTTAAATTATATGGTGAGTATGCATATTAAAGATATGAGAAGTTACCTTATCCAATGGAATTAAGTTAAGGTGCGTGTTTATCATCTTTGCCACAGCAATAGCTCCATTATCCCACACCATCACGTTTGTCTCATTTTCTCCAAGCAGAAGAAGAAGCCGACACAATAACTTGGGGTATCTAGTATTGTGTTAAAGAAATGCTAAACTAGCTAAAACAAATAAGATTTACTAGTACAAGAAATTTGAACCCACGAGTAGTCAAATCCTCTACAACACTAAATAAAAAATAGAGAAAATTAATCTTTTAGTTCTCCAACTTTTAAGTCACTTGTAACTCAGTCCTTTAACTATGACTCGCTGTGACTCGGTCCCTTAACTATGACTCGTCTATGATTTAGTTCCTCAACTTTTGAATGACTTACAAATTAGTCCCTTAATTTTTGTTAATTTTTTTTCATGTTAGCTTATATTTCACATTAATGAGCAAGAGGAGGGTATGTTAAAATAATATATGAGCATTTTTTATCCTTCTTATTTGATAAGAAATTTAAAAAAAAATAAAAAATAAGAATCAAGTTATAGGTGAATCAAAAGTTGAGGGATTGAGTCGTAGCGAATCATAATTGAGATATTGAGTTACAAGTGAGTTAAAAGTTGAAGGATTATAAGATTAATTTTTCCTAAAAAATGCTAAATATATGTAAGTCTGACTTTCATTGGCTATGCTAATAAAATCTTTTTATTCTTGGGAATTATTAAAATGAGAGTTTATTAAAGTAAAAAGAGAGAGAAAAAAAAAGAAAGACATGGACAAGGATACTTTATAACTAAATCATTATCATTCATGCCCAACTGTCCAATGCAAAAGGCAGCATTACTTCTCATTCTTGCCTTGTTGGAAGATGATAGTTCCTTCAATAATAAGGGAATCACTTGCTACGGGGGAAAAAAAAAGAATATAACATTAAATAAATCAATTGCATTTCCCAAAATAAGCACATTTATTAAAGACTATATATTAAAATAGGGGAAAAAGAAATTACATCCAAGTGTTCGGCAAAAAAGCAGATATTTCGAGCCATCACTCCTTTATCCTCATCTCGAAGTGTGGTCTTCACAAAAATGCTTATCACCATCGCTGTAAAGTTAAGGACTTAAACAGTTAAATTAATGAAAAGAACTAGTTTATTTACCATAACATTTATAATTATATAAGTTTATAATTTTATCACCTATACTCCCTTTCATTTCTGCCACCTCGTCCTGAAAAGTAGACACAAGTGTTTGAAACTTTGATGAGTATATATTATTTAGAGATAATCCACATTAACAATGATGATAAGGATCTGCAATAGTGGTATGTGGTATAATGTTATGAAATGCAGATACAATGAAAATAAAGATTATTCAGATGATATTGTGTTGAAAAGGTCTTGGAATGATTTAGCTTCTGTTTAGGATAATATAAGAGGAAATTGGTGGGTAGAAGTGATGAATGATAAAAGTACCTCTTGTTGGGATGATTGTTGGATTAATCAAAAAATTAAGTTAGGACATGCTGTTTTACAGGATGTGCCTCCAGAATTAAGGGGGTGGAGGGTGCGTGATGCAGTTAATGAAGTTGCATGCTGTAATGAAACCTGATAATAGTGATGGAAATGATAAAATTTATGGCGTTCGGGGGCAACAAGGTGATTATACAGTTAAGAGTGGGTATAGATTGTTGATGGAAAATTCTTGGGGGCTGGAAGTTAAGATTTGGAAGTCGGTATGGCCTAGAATTGAGAGGATTGAAGTGTTTTTGTGGCTTGTGGCTAATGATAGGTTGCACACTAGTGAATCAAGGTTCAGAAGATGGGGTGTATCTCCTGCCTGTTCTGTTTGTGGGCAAAATGAGTCTGTTTTACGTTTGTGAAGGGATTGTGGTAAGGCTGCTGGCTTTTGGCAGTGTATTGTTCCAGGTGCTATAAGTGAATATCATCCAAAAGGCAATAACAATAGTTTCACTTACATAAGAAATTTTTTTTTGTGAATTGATTTTTTGGGTTTTATATCAGTTCATAAGGCTCAATCAATTTGCGGAAGTAATTAACATGGTTAGGAGTAGATAACATCTAAATTATAATAGCCATTTTTTTAAAAGCAAAATCTGGTGAATTGAATTTTCAAAGATTAATTAGAGCTAAAATAAAATATCATTACTGAAGATAAATGACAATCTTTTTTTTTTTTTTTTGGCTTACAAGAGATTCTCAAACTTTGACATAACAACCGTGTATAACAGTAACTCTGGATATTTCACACCTATTATGTCAGTTAAATTTCTATATATATATCAAGTGAAAAATGACATATTTATCCAAGATAAACTCTAAGAAAGTACATGAATATAACATAAAATTAAGGTGTTGATGTGAAAATTTTAAAAGTCGTAACTCAATATATAACACAGTTATACATAAGATAAAACATCTTTGAAGAGCTGCTCTCAATTAGATTCAATTAATAACATTTGAATCTAACCCAATCAAATAGTTTCATAAAAAAGAACGTGAATCATAGCATTCAAGTTGTATTAGTGAATAAATTAAACTTGAAACACATGACTATCTCAACATATTTAATTTGTCATACTTATTCATAAATCATTCTAGAAGGTTTTTTTCTTTTTTTTGCTTGGAATGTACCAACACTTTTTAAAAGGTATATGAATTATAATATTCTAGGGACAATGCTAAATAAGAAACCCCACAACAAATGAAACTAGAAATTAACTTTTCAAAAAAATGAACACACAATTTCTTAAAAGAAAACATTCTTGTTAGCAGGTTGTGGCTTCTTATTACCAAGTGCTATATGGTGGTGGTGGAATGGATTGGAGGATTGTGCTTGGGGTGGCTTATTGGAGACTGTGGGGTAAGAGGAATAGAAGATTGTTTGAAGAAGGGTATAGGGAGAAGGGGGCAATTTGAATTGAAGTATGACATTCTGAATTTTTGCATACACGTGGCTACAAATAACTGCTGAGGGCTGTGGTTTTGCTATTTTAAGGAGAATTGTGGGTGTGGTTAGGTGGTGCCCTCCTTTGCCGGATTGGATAAAATTGAACTCTGATGGTTCTAGAAGTGGGTCTTGGTTTTTGCCAAGAAGATGGCTCCATGTTCTGCAGCAGTGTTGGGAGTTAGGTTTTCGTAAGATTGTTGATTCTTTAGTGGTCTGTAAGAAAACACAGAATGTAAGTAAAAGGAGAAGGGAGGGAAGTAGATTGCTGATGTATATTGGCCGCTGGTGGGATAAGGATTGACAGTTATGTGTCTCCCATATTGCTAGAAAGGGTAATCAATGTGCTAATGCCCTTGCAAGGATGAGTTTGAAATTGGATGCTGGTGTGCATACTTGGAATGAGATTGTTGATGACTAGCGATTACCTTTTTTAGCTAATGCTTGCAGTTTTGGGTTTGACAGGGGATAGTTAGGTGCTGTTGTTGGTTTTTTTTTTCCTTTCTTCCTTCTTTTTTGTTTATTTTCTGTGTTTCTTTTTTAGGCTTTAAGCCTCTTTGCCAATTGGAAGATGTTGAAATTGTTTTCAAAGAACGTGATTCAATTGAATGTGCTGATGCACTTGCGAGGAATGCACATGCTATGACTCTGGGAACTAGTTTGCTTACTGATGTACCTATTTGTCGTCTCAAAATAGTATAGGTTGCTTAGTCTCACATTGAGTGGTAAGAGCTACCGTATAGAATTTTTAAGTGGGTTGGTCCTTCTACTTTGATGGCTAGCCTTTGGAGAAGGTTCTCCATTCATCTTGGCTGACAATCACTTGTGTTCATCTTCGGGTTCATAATGAAACCTTGGATGTATTATTACATGATATTTTTTGTGTATCCTGTTTTGAACCTATAGTTTTTAAGGTTCTTTCCTTCACTTTTCCTTTTGTCTTAAAACTTTGCAACTTTCATTTGCCATTGACTTTGTGACTTGTTACATGTTAGAGGCCTTAACTTTTAAGGTTCTACGCTTCTTCATGTACTTTATATTTTTTGGCAATTTTTATTGATTTGATCTATCTTTGCCAATTTCTCTTTTTCCCAAAATTTCCCAGTCTATTGAATTCAAAGATATTGTGACATTGGCCGCACCCATACTCAAGATGCAACTCCATTAACTCTCAAGCAGCAATTTAGTGGCTATGTTACACA